CTCTTTGGGTCTGGGGGGGCAGGTTCTTTCTTTGGGTCTGGGGGTGCAGGATTCATCTTTGGATCTGAGGGGGCAGTTTCTTCCTTTGGTTCTTGGGAACCAGGCTCTTTCTTTGGGTCTGGAGGGGCAGGTTCTTTCTTTGGGTCTGGGGGGGCAGGTTCTTTCTCTGTAGCTGGGGGTCCTTCGCCTGCTGCACCTTTGGGTGCATTGTCTGTAGAGGAGGTGAGACACCAGTCAGGATTCACCCTCCTTCCCCTCTCTTCCCAGCCAGGCTCCCCAGAGACCAGCTCTGGGCCAGGTCCCCACTAAGGCAAAGATTTGCAAATGCTTGTCCCCCGAGCCTCTAGGGCCCCTTGACGGGCTGTAGAGATGGGCTGCTGGGATCTCAGAGTCCTGTATAGAGGGCTCCTGGTCCTCTGCTGGGCCTGGACGCCCCGTCACTCCTTGCCCTGGATTTAGTGCCATCCATGAGAGCTTCACATTTTCCTAGTTTCTCTGGGGAGGAGTTCATGTAAGCTCTTGACCAGCCCAGTCCTACCCAGAGAGAATTCGGATTTCTGAGTCCCCCATGCACCACACAGAGAACTACCACTGAGGAACTGGCCCAAACCTGGAGTCAAACACCCCTTCCCAAGCTCCTCCCTCGCCTCCTGCCCCAGCTTGGCACCTGTTGGTGAGCTCTGGATTCCCAGCTCCGCTGCTCCGTTTTCTGTTGCCATGAGGTAGGAAGGCGTCCGCTTCCGCTTGTCTAACTCAGGTCTTTCTAGCTGCAGAGAGAAGCGTGGGGTGTGTCAGGCGGTGGGAGTCCTCCTCCTGTCAGGCCGAGAGGCCAGGGCCGCTGACGGCGGGGAGAGAGGTACCTGAGCAGAGAGGGGCAACCCGGTGCCGCCTGTATTGCAGCGGCTGCCCAAGAGCCGTCCTGGGGCAGTTGTAAGGGATTGGGCCGGGCGGGCAGAGGCGGAGGCAGGGGCACAGGCAGGGGAGGCGGGGACGGAGGAGAGGATCTCTTACACCAGGGGCCATGCAGCTCGGACTGCCACCACCTGTCACTCTTGGCCCCCATTCAGAGGACACAGCATTC